GTTAAATACACGCTCAGCGCCTCGTTGCGCTCATGGCGTTTAAAAAACGCGGCGCTCCCATTGAAAACGTACGCCAGGCGCGAGTAAAAACGCTTTGGTGGACACACGGCCATAGCTTTGAGAGCGTTCTGGCAGCGCAGCGTTTTTTCCGTTGAGACGTTTCGTTGCTATGATACAGAATATCCGCAGCACAGTTTACTTGTAACTGATTTCGCAGATAATTTGTTTCATACTAAAATTTTATTTTTCATCCATTTTGTTCGGTTAGCTCTGCTGGTTGATGTCGTTGTACAGAAAGAATGTTGTGACAGTTGGTCGGTGTGGTATTAGCCCCGCCCCTCCTCCACTGTGACTGCACGGCTGGGTAAAAAGTGACACTGATGAGCGCTGCGTTTTATCCAAAGTTGAACATTTTTCAACTCTCTGCGACCAGTAAAAACGCAGAGCTCTCAGCGCTTCAGCGTGAAAAAAACGTTCAGCGCCTCGTTACGCTCATGACGTTCTAAAAACATATGCCAGGCGTGTGGAAAAACGCTTTGGTGGACACACGGCCAGCCTAGTTCACACTACATGATTTTAAGCCCGATTTAAGCCATCGTTGAGCTCGCCGACAGGTCAGGGTGTTATCGCGTGCAAATCGCGGGGGATTAGCGGGCGATGAACGCTCGCCAATCTGTTAGTATGAATGAGCCAACAACGCATCAAAGACGCTCGCAGACGCGTCGCCGAGCCCATAAAAATATCTACTAGCATGCCAGATATCCAGAGCTGCCGCGCGACTCAATCTTACGTGATGTCATGAACTACAGCCAATCAGAGCAAATCATCGCGCAAACAGTTTGGAGCACTAGTTTCTGTCTCCATAAATTTAATTTCCATCCTACAAGAAAAGAATTTGATATTGTAACCAGAGCTATAACCCATGGGATAATCACCCTGTGACAGATGTGGATCAAACTAATGCATTTTTCTCCAGCAGTGTTTCAATAAATAACCCATGGGATAATCACCCTGTGACAGATGTGGATCAAACTAATGCATTTTTCTCCAGCAGTGTTTCAATAAATAGTTTATCTTTTCAAGACAGAAAAGTCAACAACAAAGTAATAAAAAAACGTTTATGTGCAAAATCTATCCCTGCCTCCAGGTACAAATGGTCCCCCTTGTATGAAATATTAATTGGAATAGAGCATGGAGTAACCCATATTCATTTTTAATTACAAAGTAAAAGAAATATAATTTAAATATTCTTCACCATTATTACCCCTGTAACAGGATTATTTCAAAATGTATCCCTACTGTAGACGACAAATGCAGCGTTTTGCTCTCTGGAAACAGAAAAGTTAGACCATTTATTCTGCTGTTCACATAGCTCTTCTCTGTGGAATGATATACAATGCTTTATTAATGGACACTTTGGCTCAAACATACATTTATCTAGTTTTGACATCTTCTTTTACTTTTCTGACTCAAACTCCTCTATACAACATATAGTCAACTTATTAATTTTGCTTGGAAAATTCTTTATTCATAAATCGAAATTTATGAAGAACAAACCTCTTTTCAATGTTTTTAAAATTGACTTAAATTATATTGACTGTATGTATTTCTAGATTAGATGGTAAATCAGCATCAAAATGTATGCAATATTTATCTAATTTAACTTAATAATTATTTTAACTGATATTTACTCTCTGATACTCTGGCTGTGTACTTTTATGTTATTTATTATTTTTATACAGATTATTTGTTAGATGATATTTGTTTCAATTCTCTATGTATTGGATGATGTATATTTATTTATTTATTAATTTTTTATGAAAGCGTGAACTGTAACTAAATGATTTTTGTATTACAAGTTCAATTTCTTTTTTCTGCAAATTGTAACGTGATCTACAATAAAAAATAATAAATATATATATATTTTTTTTTTAAGTAAAAAAAATAACGTTTCTGTCTGATGTCCATATTCGCGTGTTGTGTTCTTTTTCGTCTTCTTCTGGGTATTGGCCATAGACAGTAAAAGAAGGTATTGGCCACAGTATAAGAAGTGGACAGAGCCATCTCATTGGAACTCAGTTGAGACAGTTGAAGCCCATTTTTAGCGATTTTTGAGACTCAAACCAACTCAAACTAAGCTTGATGACGTGAGGAACCTGTCTGACAGACGTAAATCTTCTAGTAGCTGTGCGTGAAAATGGCCAACGTTAATCTTGCAGAGACGGGGAACTTGAGCAAAGAGTTCTTTGGCGTGAGTGAGCAGGAGTAAGTATTCCGTTGCTTTTATGGACTCATTATCTATGGGCTTCTCCCTTGACGGGACGTCCCCCCGATTGCCTGCGAGCTTCTCCTCCTGTCTGTACGGTAATTTCTGTACAGCGCGACAGAGAGGCGAGTGGTTATGACGCAATCGTTAGCCTATTTTTACAAAATCTGTTTCTACGGGGCCATAATGTAACATAGAAGTGGAGACCTTTATACATTGTCGTGTTTCTTTAGAAATAAATAATGGACAAATGGAGTCTTTAAACGCCTCAGATGTAAAGTTATTCGCTGTCAAATTGACGCCAAAATGAATGGGAGTCAATGGAAATGCTAACGCAAGTGAAGTTCTGCTACAAGATGGCGGCACCCGGCCGGCTTCAACTTCCGGTCGATGGATTACCCCCTTGGTATTGGCCAAGGGGGTAATCCACCAGCCGGAAACTGAAGTCTCCCCGGGGGCCGCCATTGGCTAACAAGCCTTCACCTACTGTTAGCATCCCATTGACTCCCATTCATTTTTGCGTCACTTTGACAGCGAATAACTTTACATCTGAGGCGTTTAAAGACTCCATTTGTCCATTGTTTATTTCTAAAGAAACACGACAATGTATAAACGGCTCCATTACCTTGTATCTTACGTTATGGCCCCGTAGAAGCCGTTTTTGTAAAAATAGGCTAACGATTGCATCATAACACGCGACTCTCTGTCGCACAGTAGATAAATTACCGTATAGACAGAAGTCGCGCGCAATCGGGGGGACGTGGAGGCATAAAGTCAAGGGAGAAGCCCATAGAGAGTCATAAAGTTGCTCCTGCTGCGAGCTCATGAACTGCTAATACTCACGCTCTCCGGCTCTGCAAAATTCGGAAGGGAATGATTCAGATTCCTCTTGGCACAGCTACTAGAAGACGTACAAGTTGCTCACGTCACATCTACGTCGTCAAGCTCAGTTTGAGCCTGCGCAGTTCGCTTGGCAATCAGGAAGTGAGTGCTTCTATTTGACTTCACTTTTCTCCATTGAAGTCTATGGGGTCGCTGTGTCCATTTCTTTTACTGTCTATGGTATTGGCGCGCGTCCTGTTTCGCGTCATTTCCGGTTAGTTTTATCGCGTGATTTTTCATGACAAAACGTGGTTTGAAGACAAGATAGAATCGTTGGGTGATAGAGTTGTTGTCAACTCGTGTAGTGTGTTACCTCCTGTTGCGGATCAATCACGGTGTGTCGTGTGGTGTGAACAGCTCAACAACTTGAACACTCCTGATTTCACAGAGAGCAAGTCATGTATTGTGAACTGCACAGTTCAGCCCGACGTTTTAAAATCATGTAGTGTGAACTAGGCTTAGGGACATAATCTGAGATTGCAATGCTGGAGTGTGTGTGTGTGTGTGTGTGTGTGTGTGTGTGTGAGTCGCGCGCGCGATCGAACAGAGGAAACTGTTGTTGTTTTTAATACCTCGTCATTATGTTAATACAGGACATCATTCAAACTGCAAAGTGTAAACTTGTTTATTATCCTCGCAGCCATAACCTCCGTCGTTTCTGACAAAAGCTTAACGTAGTCTTCTCACATTCATGAAGTCTAAAGACGGGTATACTGTAAAATCCAAATTTAACTGAACCTCCGGCACGATTTGAACATCCATTGATGTTTTGTCTAAATATATTCTAGATATATTTACATACTTGCAGCATTTGAAATCACATACACCTGTCAGAAAAAAAGTACATCTTACCGCAAATTTTTGCTGTTCAGAGTTTCCATGCATTAGGATGTATATAAAATATGACCATAAACTCCAGACATGATGTAGATGATAATTTATTCATTTCTCTTTGAATAAATAGATAGAACATTTATTAAAACGTCTTAATAAGACTTGCCTATTTTAAAGCACATTTTAACATACATTTTTTAATCCCCTTTCAGTCATACAACATATTAGATAGAGCATTCAATCATCAATTTAATTACCGACACAAAGAGTAAAGCTGTTTATTCTTCATTAAATTATCAACAATATTGTAAAGAATTTCAAAGCACAAAAAGTAGCACTCAAACTAAAATAATTCATAAGGTCTGAATGCCCTAAACAACAAATGCCCCGTATCCATGTGAAACGACAACCAATAAACGTAAAATTACAAATAATACTCAAGAAATCAGCAATCAGAACTTACATGTACATATTCAACATGATCTGCGTTAGAGAATCAAGGCTTTCTGTAATATCACACTGTGAAAAATCACTTGAGCCGAGAAATTCACCTCCATAAGTGAGCAAGAGACACTATTCTACTGATTATGAAACATGTACAACGCTTAATTCAACCACTAAAGCAAATACTCCGACAGAACTGGCACTGCCATATCGACAAAGACAACGTGAGGATGCATTTCTGAGACCAATGGCACACAAATGGTTTAACTGAGCAAAGGCGATGTGTTTTCAATCTAAACTGACAGCTGATTAGGCCTGAAATAAAGTGCACCCACAAAATCCTGATATTCTACAGCACATTAACACACTTTAAACATTTATCATGCATGACAATGCCAGTGACAACAACACTGAGGTGAACATTAGAAAGAGAACAGCTCTACGGGTCTCGCATGCCACACACAAGTACAAACAAGGGTGTACGGTAAAGATTTCCTCATGGCGAAGTAAAGGGATAGAGAAATGCCTTCCATGAGAGAATTATCCATGTTAGTGTTGTATATACTTCTATTTTCTCAAACGCAAGGCATTGCAATTGCAATGCAAGTTCCCTCTGAATTTTCCAAGAAACGGCTGATATTTGAGCTAGTATCACTACAGAAATGTTCAACCAGATTGTCACACACACACACAATATACGGTAAGAAATTAAACTAGACATTATGCCACAGTATTTGTCCTGGACACATCACTTCAGGTCACCGGCATCACCCTGGATGGTCTTCTTGATACGCAGCAACATGGTGGTCTGCCACTGGTCGAGACGGGAGATCGAATCAAACTCCTTCACCTGGAGGATCAGCACATGATTTAGAGATCAAAATGAGCGAACACTCCTGAGAAAAACATATGAGCTGCATCTGATTTTTCTACATATTTGTACAGTGTTTCTGTGATGCATGTTCCACAGCGTGAACAGATAAAATGCAATGCATGTCTGACAAATGCATGAATATAAATGACGTAGGGGCTAGTTGTCACACCTTTTTCTCAATTATTTCCTAAGAAAGTCAATTTATGTATATACATGAACCTTCAAAAATAGTCTTTTCAGCAAAATTAAATCTATTGTGCAAGACAAAATAACGAACACAAAAATTCAGAATCATCAATTTTTTTTTAAGAAAGTTGAAATAAAAGTACTAAACAAAACAAGCATTTGTTTAACTGGACTTTTGACTTAAAGCAACACCAAGTATTTTTTCCTTCAGCGGTCGCCCTACAGGTTAGAAGCAGAATTGTCCATTACCGCTGTCGTAAATAATTTAGCCTACCGCAGCCTACTGTCGCACGCGCACGCTCGCTGTTTATCCAGTACCGGCTTTGGAATCAACAATGGCAGACATCCCAACCTGCAAGAAGTCATTTCAGGGAGGTATATCTTGGTGACTGGATTGTTGGGGGGGGCTAGGTTGACTAGCTTTCGTGAGGCACACTCGCAAGGTCTCTCGCTCTCTCCCTCTCTGCCATGCTCGTGCTATGTATGTTATGCGCGCAGTATGTCCTGTCTCGCATGCGCGCTCTAGATTCCGGCAGATTTGAACTAATTTTCGGGCATCAGGGAGACGCTATCAATATGAGGGAGACTCCCGGGAGACTTGGGATGTTTGCAATGGCCACAGACAATTTGAGGAAGTGGTGGGGGAAGTGACGTATGCCGTAAAGCAGTCGAATTTTGTAGTTCTTTTTGTGCTCGGGTTCCTACCCGAAACCCGAAGTTACATAGTGCCAGTAAAAGCGATACAGACCACGTCAGGCTATGGCAGACGTGTCATTTAACTTATTTTAAGTCGATGTACCATCACAAGGGTCTTGGAAATATATTATGAAGGTTGAAAAACTACATAGTGTTACTTTAACCTCTGAGTCCACGTGTGACAACTAGCCCCGGTGTCTCTTATATACTCTTAAAAACAAAGGTTCCAAACGTGTGTTTTCGCAGTGATGCCATAGAAGGACCATTTTTGGTTCCCCAAAGAACCTTTCAGTGATCAGGTCTTAAAAGAACCTTTTTTTTTTTTTTGACTCTTTTTCTGTGAAGAATATTTGAATAATCTGAAAAACCTATAAAGAACCTTTTGTGCAATGGAAAGCTTCTAGAGGTTAAAGGTTGTTCATGGAACCATCAATGCCAATAAAGAACCTTTATATTCGAAAGTGTACAGTATGATCATCCAAAGCCACTGCACATTTTAGAGGTTATAAACTTACGGCTTCAGTGAACGCCTCGCTGTTCTGCTCCTCATGGGCCTCCAATAGTTTCTGTACAAGACAAAACCATCAGTGCAAATACTGCAAAATATGACAACCACATTTCTGCACTCATACTGACCTTACACTGATTACTCACTTATAGCCCACATTTAGCCTTTTACTTCTGCCGATTGTATTTAGGCTTCAAAATTAATAAAAGTTGTTCATTTGTGATTATCATGAAAATCATAAACTTTTGCTCATAAAGCTTATTCTCTGCAATAATCCAAAAGCCAATGAACAAAATCCTGTTGGGTTTTTGTCGAGGGGATGCTAACTTCTGGGATGGCCTACTAAAATGCATCATCACTGCAGCGCAATACTGCTAAATAAATGAAACAATTGTACTTACTTTCAACAGCTTACATTCTCTTGAATCAGAGAATGCAGGAAACATCCCTTCATACTTTTCAATTGCAAGCTGAAAGAAAACAAACAGAACATTTGCATCAGATGAGCTGTTACATGTCAGGAGCAAGAAATGAATTAATTACAGCTGACTGGGAACAGCATATTAATACAATGGCATTGGTGACTGAAAATGTTTGCTGCATGAATGCCACTAGGTGTCAGTGTAAGACAACTGCAATATCAACCGGCTTAAAGAGATAGTTCACCCAAAAATGAAAATGTTGTCATCATTTACTCACCCTCGAGTTATCCCAAATCTGTATGAATGTCTTTCTTCTGCTGAACACAAAAGAAGAGCTTTTAAAGAATGTCGGTAACCAAACAGTTGAAGCGCCCCATTGACTTCTTTCAAAATATATATATATATATATATATATATATATATATATATTAGGGCTGGGAAAAAATTAATCGTGATTAATCGCATCCAAAATAAAAGTTTTGTTTACATAAAATATGTGTGTGTAGTGTGTATAATTATTTTGTATATATAAATACACACACATGCATGTATATATTTAAGAAAAATGTGTTATTAATATAAAAATATGTATATTTATATATAATATAAATGATGTATAAATATATATACAGTATATACATGCAAATATTTCTTAAATATATACATGCATATGTGTGTATTTATATATACAAAATAATTATAAACACTACACACACATATTTTATGTAAACAAAACTTTTATTTTGGATGCGATTAATCACGATTAATTTTTTCCCAGCCCTAATATATATATAACTGTTTGGTTACCCATATTCTTCAAAATGTCTTCTTTTGTGTTCAACAGAAGAAAGAAATGTATAAATGTTTGAAACAACTTGAGGGTGAGTAAATGATGACAGAATTTTAATTTATGGGTGAACTATCCCCATTACTACTGACTTGAGCTAAATAATAACACTATTGCTGAATTGAACTTGTTTGATAATTGATGAACTCTGCAACATTGACAGTTATTGAACTGAACTGAATGACACTGAACTAAATTGAGCTGAATGACCAGTGTCTTCTGTAGAGCTGCTTTACAACTGAAACTGTTTCATAAATTATTAATTTTTTTACAACATTAAAGGCCCGTTCAAACCAAGAAAGATAACTATAAAGATAACTATAACAAAACTATATTAGCATCCACACCAATGCACAATATCGTTTATTGTAATCACGCGCTGCAGTTTTGTCATCTGCCGCTTTAAATGCTCAAGCTCTTAAAGCAGAATGGATTCTGATTGGCTGTCAATGGCCCTCATTTATCAAAAGTGCGTACACCAAATTTCCAGCGTACACCTGGCGAGCTGGCGTACACCCAAAACCACGGTGACTTTGAGATTTATCAATATGGACGTTGGCGTACGGCACGCTCAAATCCTACGCCTGCTCAGGAGGTGGTGTACATGTACGCACGTTTTGAGTTAGTGCGGAAATGCGCAGAAAAACAATTCCTAACACCACAAAACGCACTGACAAACTAAAAGATATGAGGAGCTCTTTTCCAAAACGCGATAAACGACATTTAAAAAAAAAAATGAGTTTGTCATGTCATTTTGCTGTGTACTGAACCTATTCACTGTTCCATCAACGTTTCATGCCAAATCGCTATATTTCCTTGTTTAAAATATACTGCAAGATGCAGTTTCTTTCCAAACCGCGATAAGCGCCGAACCTATTTTTAAGGGAAAATGAAATGCTTGAGGGAGAAGGGAAAAGGGCCTCGCATTGATCAGTACTTCTTACGAAGTCAGTCAAGTCAGTCGAATGAAATCCAGCGGCAGGAGGCAAACCACAGTTCGCAGGATATCAGCACCCCTGTCATAGAGGAGAGGAGGGTTTGCACAGGTAGTGATGAACATATTGATTCTTGTGAACCCGGTCAGACTAACCAGCATAAGAGAGAAAAGAACCTCAACGGGCATAGGCCTGGAGTTAGATGGCCAAGAGCTTGTGAGAAAACTGCATGGGACACATTAAACAGACCTATGCTTTGCATTGGAAAGATTAACTGGTTCAGTTGAAAAGAAGCTGGATAAATTTGGGGACATCATTTACGCTTACGGAAGTGAGAGGTTTGGTGTGGAAAAAAGGAAGGAAAAAGTACAAACTACTCCTGTAATGTCTAGACGGCAGCAGAAAATTGAAGGGTTAGTTAGAGAAAGGAGACAGCTGAGGAAGCAATGGAAAAGAGCAGAACAAAGTCAGAAGGAGGGACTCAATAGCCTACGAAGAGCTATAAAAGATAAGCTTGCAGCGTTACGCAGAGCTGAGCGCCTACGGAAACGCTACAAAAAGAAGGAGCGTGCGAGGACTAATTTCTATAAAGATCCATTCAAATTCGTAAAGAAGTTATTCACCAGTGAAAAGAATGGCACTTTAAAAGCATCTAGGGTTGAACTAGAGAGATATTTGGAGGAAACGCATACAGATGCAAAAAGGCATGAGCCTATGTCAATTCCGTCAGACATCCCACCTATCAATCCACCAGAATACCAAATGGAGGTCTGTGCACCTAAGTGGAAAGAGGTAGAGCAGGCTGTGAGAAAGGCAAGGGGTTCATCATCTCCAGGGCCTAATGGAGTTCCGTACAGAGTGTACAAGAGTGCTTCAGGAGTTCTACGAATTCTGTGGAAATTGATAAAAGTAGCATGGGAAAAACAGGTTGTACCTAGAGCATGGCGCCGAGCAGGTGGAGTCTTTATACCTAAAGAAAAAGATGCTACAAGCATCAGTCAGTTTCGTCCTATTTCACTATTAAACGTCGAAGGTAAGATTTTCTTCAGCGTTATTGCTCAGAGATTGTCAACCTACCTATTAAAGAATGGCTTCATTGACACTTCAGTTCAAAAAGCGGGCATTCCAGGTTTCTCAGGATGCTTAGAACACATCAATGTGATCTGGCAACAAATTCAATCAGCTAAAAGGGAGAGGAAGGAGTTCCACGTGACATTCCTGGATTTGGCTAATGCATATGGTTCAGTGCCACATGAGCTTCTTTGGGCAGCATTTGATTTTTTCAGGGTACCAATGTCAATAACAAATTTAGTGAAAGCCTATTTTGGAGATTTGCAATTTAGTTTCTCAACTGCAGAATTCAACACTACATGGCAATGCTTAGAGGTTGGAATAATGGCAGGATGCACCATTTCTCCGCTGGCTTTTACCATGGCAATGGAAGTAATCATTAGGGCATCAAAATGGGTAGTAGGAGGAGAGCGCTTGGCATCTGGGATGCGACTACCACCAATCAGAGCATATATGGATGATATGACAACAATGACTACAACAGTAGCCTGCACTAATCGGTTATTGAGCAAGTTAACCGATAACATTGAATGGGCACGAATGCAATTTAAGCCCTCTAAATCAAGGAGCATCTCGATAGTTAAAGGTAAGGTAGTAGATAAAACATTCTTCATTAATGGTGAGGCAATACCAACAGTTTCTGAGAAGAAGAGTCTTGGGAGATGGTACGATAGGGATCTAAAGGACACAGTTCGAGTGGGAGAAGTTAGACGACAAGCAGTGGAAGGGTTGAAGAGCATAAACAGCTGCTCTCTACCAGGCAAACTAAAACTCTGGTGCTTTCAGTTTGGGCTTCTGCCGAGGTTGCTGTGGCCGCTGACTGTGTATGAGGTTTCTTTGACAACAGTGGAGAAGCTGGAAGCGTTAATAAGTTCATACATCAGAAAATGGTTGGGAGTACCACGCTGTCTCAGCAGAGTGGGGCTTTATAGTAAAGGAATATTGCAGCTGCCAGTCTCTGCTTTAACTGAGGAGTTTAAGTGCGCCAAGGTCAGACTGGAAATGACCTTAGTAGAGTCACGTGACAAATGTGTAAGGGAGGCAGCACCAGTGTTAAAAACGGGTAGAAAGTGGTCAGCAAAGAAATCTGTGGAAGAGGCAAAGGCTGCCCTTCAAATTGGTGATATTGTGGGACAGGTACAGCATGGAAGAGGGGGTTTTGGGCTCAGTTTAGCTCCTCCTAAATGGCACAAGGCAGCCCCAGCTCAAAGGAGGAAGCTGGTAGTCAACGAGGTACGAAAGCAAGAGGAGAGTATGAGGTGTATAAAGGCCATTTCTCAGGCCAAGCAGGGAGAGTGGATGAGATGGGAGAGTGTGGAACAACGCAAGATAGGCTGGAAAGACCTATGGTCAATGGAAGAGAGTAGGATCAGTTTCCTTATCAGGTCAACATATGATGTTCTCCCATCACCACAGAACCTAAACCTCTGGGTAGGAGAAGATCCCTCTTGTTCTTTGTGTTCATCACCTGCCACACTAAGGCACATTTTGACAGGATGTAAGGTGGCTCTTAGCCAAGGTCGGTTTACTTGGCGCCATGACAAAGTACTGCGATGTTTGGCTATAGCATTGGAAGACAAGCGCAACATGACCAATAAGTTGCCACCTGTTCTAGCAAAACATTGCCCACAGAGGACATTATTTCTCCGCCCAGGCGAGCAACCACCAAGAAAGGGTGTTAAAACCAATTCTCGCCTAGGACAACTGGAAGCTGCTGGAGACTGGAAGATGCTGGCTGATCTTGATCAACGGCTTATTTTTCCACCTGAGATTGCCAACACTAACCTCCGACCAGATATTGTGTTGTGGTCGGAATCAGCATGCATAGTTCAAATGATAGAGTTAACAGTGCCATGGGAGGATGCTGTAGATGAGGCATATGAGAGGAAGAAACTGCGGTATGCTCATCTGGCCGCTGAAGCAGAACAGCGAGGATGGAGAGTCCGGGTTTATCCAGTGAAAGTGGGTTGTCGAGGGTTTGTGGCACACTCTACAACCCGATTCCTAAGAGATGTCGGATTCAGTGGCCAAGAGTTGCGTCGCACAGTAAAGAACTTATCTGAAGCAGCAGAGAAAAGCAGCAACTGGCTGTGGTTGAGACGGAAAGATTCTGGCTGGCTGGGTACAGACCGACACGCTAAGGTTTTGAAGAATTCTTGAATGTGTTTGGAAGGTTTGGTGGTAGGTAGTATGCCAT